TGTCCAGGTCCCATTCAGCTTGGCTTTGCTGCAACCCTTGGCAGTGGCTTTGGAAACAAAGTGCTGGAGACATGACCTTGACCGCTGGAGGCTGGGCACTGGACTGGGCCGGATGCCCAGCAGCCCCATTGCCGGACAGCAGAAAAGACTCGGCTCTCATATCTTCATCTCTTCCTCAGATCCCAAGATGACGTCCATGTTGACCTGCGCTGCCAAGACCCTCCCTGCTGTCTCTCCATGGGCTGCCAGACTCTGTAAGCTCCCTTATCTTTACCCTTTCATGATTATTGATTATTATTTTAACATTGACAATAATATATTTGTTACGCACTAAGCCAAATGTGTGCAATTTGGATGTTCCACTTTTCAAAAAATTATGACCCATTTTGGATGCAAACCACATGTATTGTTGAAGGTTTTCATGGCTGGAATCATTGAGTAGATGTAAGTTTTTCGGGCTGTATGGCCATGTTCCAGAAGCATTCTCTTCTGATGTTTTGCCTGCATCTATTCCAGGCATCCTCAGATGTAAACACAGTGTGTTTACAGCTTAGCATAGTTTGTGTGTGCATCTTAATGTAGGTTTCTGCTTGGTTCGTGTGTTTGCTTTTAATATAGTACTAGCCATCCCCTACCACGCGTTGCTGTGGCCTAGTCTGTGTATATGTGTTTTGTGTGTGTATATGTGTATATATATATGTGTGTGTATGTGTGTGTGTTTCTGTATATATTGGTTTTGCGCATGTGTTGTAATGTATATTCTTTTTTATTTTTTGGCTTTTGAAGTCCCTTTTGCTGTGTTTTTCAGTGTTTTTATGAGTGATGGTCACTCATTGGCCTGATATGTGTATTGTGTCCAAATTTGGTGTCAATTCGTCCACTGGTTTTTGAGTTATGTTAATCCCACAAATGAACATGACATTTTTATTTATATATGTTGTAGTGGTTGTTTGTGTAGCATAGTTTTAACAATATAGTTTTTTCATAGCTTTAGTTATTATTACTGTTCTTTGGTTATATTTTTTACAGTTCTTTTTATAGATTTTATGTATTATGATGTGTATTAATTGTTTTTAACTGATATGCATTTATATATAGCATCTAATTCAGTGGTTCTCAACCTGGGGTCCCCAGATGTTTTTGGCCTACAACTCCCAGAAATCCCAGCCAGTTTGCCAGCTGTTAGGATTTCTGGGAGTTGTAGGCCAAAAACATCTGGGGATCCCAGGTTGAGAACCACTGAATTAGATGCTATATATAAATGCATATCAGTTAAAAACAATTAATACACATCATAATACATAAAATCTATTGTTGCCTGTCTGTGTCCTGAATCGCTTTCGGGCTGAAACGGGCGAGATAAAAATAATGTAAATAAATAAATAAATATTTGGTTATATTGGCCTATAAAGCCCTAAACCAGGGGTCCTCAAACTTTTTTAAACAGAGGGCCAGGTCACAGTCCCTCAAACTGTTGGGGGCCCGGATTATAATTTGGAAAAAAATAAGAATTAATTCCTATGCACACTGCCCATATCTTATTTGCAGCAACACCAGAGGCACTCCAAGGGGCCAGATACTGGTCAAAGGACATTTAATCAACTAGCAAGCTTGCAAACTCTGTTTTGTCTGTTTGTTAAAAATTTGTTTAAAATGTAATACAATTGTCTAGTTGATACTGACACGATAAATTTATTTATTTATTTATTTATGTCGATTACTTCTACCCCGCCCTTCTCACCCCCAAGGGGGGACTCAGGGCGGCTTATAAAGAAGGCACAATTCGATGCCTATGTCAAATATACATACATACAAAACAGCAATTAAACAATTAACAGGTTAAAATCATCAGTACATAACACAATCAGTAACTAATACAAACTAGTACATAACACAAACTAGTACAAACACAAACTACAATAAATTTGCAAAAACCCCCCACTTAAAAACAATACAATAATTAAAATGAAGAACATTTTAAAGATATATAAACATATTAGTATTTTGGCTGATGAGATAGGGTTGTTGTTATGTGCTTTCAAGTCCTTTCAGACTTAGGTTGACCCTGAGCGAGGACCGGCTAAATGACCTTGGAGGGCCGTATCCACCCCCCGGGCCTTAGTTTGGGGACCCCTGCCCTAAACAGTACTTACCCAACTTACCTGTCTGAGTGCATCTCCACTTATGAACCATCTAGGACCTTAATATCATCTGGGGTGGCCCTGCTCTCGGTCCCACCTTCGTCACAAATATGTCTGGCAGGAACGAGAGACAGGGCCTTCTCAGCGGTAGCCCCTCGGCTATGTAATGCCCTCCCTAGGAATATCAGACCAGCCCCCTCCCTTTTAATATTTCGGAAAAAAGTCAAGACATGGGTTTTTGAGCAAGCATTTGCAAACGCAAAGTAACTGACATAGGAATATGGAATGACTTGACGATGGGACTAGACAATGCTTTTAATAAGGAGACATGATGTTGTTGTTGTTCATTCGTTCAGTCGTCTCCGACTCTTCGTGACCTCATGGACCAGCCCACGCCAGAGCTCCCTGTCGGCCGTTACCACCCCCAGCTCCCAAGGTCAGTCCAGTCACTTCAAGGATGCCATCCATCCATCTTGCCCTTGGTCGGCCCCTCTTCCTTTTGCCTTCCACTTCCCCCAGCATCATTGTCTTCTCTAGGCTTTGCTGTCTCCTCATGATGTGGCCAAAGTACTTCAACTTTGTCTCTAGTATCTTTCCCTCCAGTGAGCAGTCGGGCTTTATTTCCTGGAGGATGGACTGGTTGGATCTTCTCGCAGTCCAAGGCACTCTCAGCACTTTCCTCCAACACCACAGCTCAAAAGCATCATGAGGATCTTTGCACAATTAAAACTTATGGGCCAGCTGTCACATCTGTAGGTTACTACAGGGAATACTTTGACTAGCGGATCTTTGTTGCCAGTGTGATGTCTCTACTCTTTACTATTTTATCGAGATTGGACATTGCTCTCCTCCCAAGAAGTAAGCGTCTTCTGATTTCCTGGCCACAGTCTGCATCTGCAGTAATCTTTGCACTTAGAAATACAAAGTCTGTCACGGCCTCCACATTTTCTCCCTCTATTTCCCAGTTGTCAATCATTCTTGGTTGCCATAATCTTGGTTTTTTTGACGTTTAGCTGCAACCCGGCTTTTGCGCTTTCTTCTTTCACCTTGATTAGAAGGCTCCTCAGCTCCTCCTCGCTTTCGGCCATCAGAGTGGTGTCATCTGCATATCTGAGGTTGTTAATGTTTCTTCCAGCAATTTTCACCCCAGCTGTGCATTCATCCAGCCCCGCACATCGCATGATGTGTTCTGCATACAAGTTAAAAAGGTTGGGTGAGAGGATGCAGCCTTGCCGTACGCCTTTCCCAATCTTGAACCAGTCTGTTGTTCCGTGGTCAGTTCTGACTGTTGCTACTTGGTCCTTGTACAGATTCCTCAGGAGAGAGGGAAGGGGGCTTGGGATGCCCATCCCACCAAGAACTTGCCACAATTTATTATGATCCACACAGTCAAAAGCTTTAGAATAGTCAATGAAGCAGAAGTAGATGTTTTTCTGAAACTCCCTGCCTTTCTCCATTATCCAGCGGATATTGGCAATCTGGTCTCTCGTTCCTCTGCCTTTTCTAAACCCAGCTTGAACATCTGGCAACTCTCGCTCCATGTCTTGCTGGAGTCTTCCTTGCAGGATCTTGAGCATTACCTTACTGGCATGAGAAATAAGGGCCACTGTACGGAAGTTTGAGCAGTCTTTCGCATTTCCCTTTTTTGGTATGGGGATATAAGTTGATTTTTTCCAGTCTGATGGCCATTCTTGTGTTTTCCATATTTGCTGGCAAATGGCATGCATCACCGTGACAGCATCATCTTTTAAGATTTTAAACAGTTCAGCTGGGATCTTATGCTTTTACTGATGTTGTTATGGTTTTATTATATTTATGACGTTGTAAGCATTGAACTTTGCTCTGTTAACCGCCTTGAGTCGCCTACAGACTGAGAAAGGCGGTATACAGATACAGTAAATAAATAAATAAATAAATATTTTATTTATTTCTGAACAAAAAGAAAAGCAGCATATTACCGTATATACTTGAGTATAAGCCGACCCAAATATAAGTCGAGGCACCTAATTTTACCACAAAAAACTGGGGAAATGGATTGATTAGAGTATAAGCCGAGGGTGGGAAATGCAGCAGCTACTGGTAAATTTCAAAATAAAAATAGATACCAATAAAATTATATTAATTTAGGCATCAGTAGGTTAAATGTTTTTGAATACTTACATAAAACTGTAATTCAAGATAAGACTGTCCCACTCTGATTAAACCATTACTCTTAACCTTCTTCAATGTAAATATGCTTATGTATCCTTCCAATAATAATAAATAGAGTAAAATAATAATAATAATAATAATAATAATAATAGAGTAAAATAATGGAATGTAATAATGACAGCAATAATAGAGTAAAATAATACATGTAATAATAATACAGTAAAATAATAAATGTAACAATAACAATAACAAAATAATAAATGTAATAATAACAATAACAACAAAATGAAATAAAAATTAACCTTCACTCGAGTATAAGCCGGGGGAGACTTTTTCAGCCTAAAAAAAGGACTGAAAAACTAGGCTTATACTCGAGTATATACAGTACTTAATAGTTCAATTTCTTCAAAATAACCATATTTGCATCTATTTATAGATCCTGCATCTCTGTATTGCTTTCTCTCTCTCTCTCTCTCTGTCTCTGTCTCTCTCTCTGGTTTATATTCTTAAGATCTTCTGTTTTTTCTTACTTTTCAGCCGTGAGGCTCCTCAGCTGTTCCCCCCATCTACATGCAGCAGGTAAAGCAAAAGCATCACTAAATGAATGGATGTTGTTACATAAATATTTCAACAAAACTTCATAGATAAAGAGATGAAATGGGCTTTGTAATGAAAGGAGATAGTCTGGTAAAGCTCAGTTTAAACCAGGTATGGACAAACTTCAGCCCTCCAGGTGTTTTGGACTTCAACTCCCACAATTCCTGGCCT